ATATAATCACATGATATAATTAGAGAATGGTCATCTCATGTGGTGCAGAGAAATCATTTGACGGAGTTCCACAATCATGTTTCCAAGTAAAACATTTCCTAACCTGTGGATGCAACCTATGAAAACCCCACAGTTGACACAGTTGACATCATGCCTACTGGAGAAAAGCTGGATGCCTTCCTCTTGAGTTGGGAGTAAGACAGGATGCCCGTTCTGGCCATGACTAGTCAGCACTGTACTGAGGGTGTGGCCTGGAACTGGGGCAGGAAAAAGAAAATTTAAATATCCCAGTAATAAAACAAGTGAAACAAAACCATTTTCATACTTTATTTCCTGTACATACAAAATCTTGAGGAATCCACTAAAAATGTCTTTAATTAGTCATGAGTTGAGCAAGGCTTCAGGATAAAAGGTAAATACATAAATCATTTTCAGTTCCTACACGTTCATGGGAGGGGGGCTCAAAATGGAAGTAAGATGGCAATTCCACACACAGCAATAGTAAAAGGGATAATAAAATTGGGAATATACACCCTACGTATGGAAGAGTATGGAAGTCTTTTATTAGGAATGGAACGAATCATTTATAAATGTATGTGGTAATGCAGAAGGTCCCAAAGAGCCACTGCAAATGAGAAAGAGTCAAGTGGAAAGATTCACATTTTCATTTGTTAAAACTTGCTGCAAAGCAGCAGTATTTATAATAATGTCTCATTAAAGTGGGGATGAAAGTACATTCAGTGAAATCCATTTGTCTTAACTAATTTGAAGAAGGATACCATAGACAGTTTGACAGAGAAAAGAGTAGTTGTTCTAGCCAGAAATGCTGGGTCATGTGGATAGCCATGTGTAAAAGAGTTACAGTCATCTAAAATGATACTTCTCAATGTAAAACTCAGAAGAAAACCTAAGAACACGTGGTGTGGCATGTGGTTCTTAAATGTGACACCAAAGACCTGGACCACAAAAGTAAATAAAGTAACTTCATCAAAATTAAAACATTTTATGTTTCAAATGATGCTCTCAAAGTAAAAAGACAAGCCCCAAATGCAGTAATACTTGGAAAGTGTACATCATATAAAGAACCTGTTTCAGGAATACTTAGAATTTTTAAAACTCAATAAAAAGACTGTCAAAATTTAAAAAGTAGGCAAGTGGGTACAAGATGGTTCAGCAGGTAAAGGTACTTACCAACAAGCTTGAACAACCTGAGTTCAGTCCCCAGGATCCATATGATGGAAGAAAAGAACTGACTCCTGCAAGTTGTCCTCTGACCTCCACATGTACCACACCACATCCACCCACAAACAAGTAAAAATAAATGAATAAAAATTTAAAATTAAACTAAGAAAATAAAATAAAGTAGGTAAATGATATGAACAGAATATGTCCAAATAAGATACGCCGGTGGACAATTATTATCAGAAGGTATTCTTGGCATAGGTAGACTTCAGGAACCATAAGCCAAATTGTAGACAGATGCCACTTCATACCCATGAGGATGGCCATACCAGTCAGATACCCAGTGCTGGTGAGGACTGGAAAAAGGAGAGCCTTTATGATGTTTTGAATGTAAATGGTGCAGCTGCACTGGACAACTTTCTGGCAGATTGTGAACATCGGTGTTACTATATAAGCTAACAACTTCCATGTGTGTGTGTGTCTGTGTGTCTGTCTGTCTGTGTGTGTGTGCATGTGTGTGTGTCTGTGTGCATGTGTGTGTCTGTGTGCGTGTGTGTGTCTCTGTGTGTGTCTGTGTGCGTGTGTGTGTTTGTACAAGAGAAATGAAAACGTACAAAGAAAAACTTGTACATGAACTTTTTAGAAGCATAGCAGCCAAAATGTGAACACAACTCATGTTCATTCATGGTCGAATGGTAAATAAAACATGATATATGCTTAGAGTGCTATTACTTCTTAGTAAGCAAGAATTTGGCATTGATGATGCTACAACACAGGTGACTCATGAAACCATGACGGTGAGTGAACAACGGTAGCCATGGAGACCACATAGTATGTGATTCAACTAGTATGAAATGTTAGAGGATTAGTGATTGACCAGGGGTACTATAGAAACAAGGGGTATTGAGTAAAGAATCTCTCTCTGTAGGGGATGAGATTGATGATAGTAATGGTGTGTATTTGCAAATTTTCTATAACAAAATCAGAATTGTACATTTTAGGCCAGTAATTATTACGCTATGTGAATTATGTCTTAATTACCTGCCAAATATTTTATTCAGATCTGATTTTCCTTCCAAGGAAGAGCACATCTCTAAAGCTAAATCAGGTTGTCTGATAACACTTTGAGATTAATCTATGACAAACCCTTAAGTCAAGAATTGTTGGCAAGATCAAAGCAATCTGACTGTCCAGGTTTATATTCTAGTTTTAGTATGTTGTGTATTTAGAGCAAATTATTTAATACCTGAAAATGGGTATGATAAAATTACCTCTGCTACAGACTTGTTGAAAAGCCTGTGAGGTAAGAAGTCAGATGTTCAATACGTGACGGATCCCTTGTTTCTATAATCCTCGGAGCTACTAGCTGAGCACCAATGTCATCAACCAACTGCCGTTTCAGTCTTCAGGGGCAGTGTTGGAGGTAAAGAGGAATTTCAGACCTGGTTACAGACTCAAGGAGATGGCTGTTAATTTTTTAATTACCAGTTTCGTAGAACAGAATGAAAGAGACACAGTAGTAGAGAAAGAAAAGTCAAGAGCCAAGAGAAGCCAGAAATAATACTTGCTGTGTGAGAGACGTTTCTGGGCGGAAGGAGAAGAAAGTGAATTTCAGGATAGACTGACAACTTGAGAGGTGGAGATGGAAGGAAAGTATTGTTAGTGTAGAGCGAGGAGCCAGGACAAAGATGCTGTGGGGAGATGGCCATCAAGCTTGTATTAGTAAGGATAGGGTCCTACTGTGCACGGCAGGTTAAGATACGAAGACATATATTGGTGCTAATGAATTTTAAGTGATTTTCGTTCAGTGAAATAGAGTTGTTGTGTTGCTGTTCTTGTGTTTGGTATTTGTGTTAAACACTGCTTATTCCAGTAATGATATTTCTTGTTTCTGACCCCAATAGACTTTTGAACTGAGTATAAAGTTCCTACCTTCAAAGAAAATACCAGGGCAAATTTTCACTGGGCAAGTTAAAAGGCAAGGAGGGTCTTATTCAAGGCTGTGAATAGGGTTAAAGGTGTTACGGTAGAGGAGAGAAGTTAGACTCAATAGCTCTGAAATCAAAGACTGGTGGGCTCTAGGGGCTGTAAGCTATTGAGAAAGTGATAGATGATGTGAGCAGGGAGGCTGGTTGACATAGGCCGTCTGGGTTTGCATGTGACACCCTGAAAATCAGCTCCTGCCTGCTCATAGAGAGTGGAAGACGGGGTGTCCTTTGTTCTTCAAAGAAATGGCTCCCAGAGACAGAAAGAATGGACAGTGGCAAGTTTTCTAGAGTGAATGCTCTAAGGAAGAAACCCTTTCTAAAGAGCTGAGGGCATCTTGGTCAGGAGACAGTGTTTGAGAAGTCTTGTGTGGAGCCAGCAGCTTTGGATATACAAATGCATCTGTGCAATGAATTATTTTAGGACAGAAATGTTGCATGCGTTCAGTGGCCTGTGCTTCTATCTGGTCTTGAGGATTTCCTTCTCCAGATGTGGCTGTCCTGTGGCATTTTAAGTCCCATTTACCTGTCCCTTGTTGCTTTCCAGGTTGCCATTTGGGATAAGTTGCTGGGAATCTCAGTGTGTTTGAGTGGTAGCTTGTATATTGTATTTTCAATCAATTTCATTTTATTCAAATGTAGCATTGTGCCTCAAGTAAGCATCTTAGAGATATATAGAGATATATACCCTTAGTGAACCAGACAGTAACAACAGGCAAGCTTACTATAGTGCTTAGTACTTTTACTCACTTACAAACACACAGTCTCATTTTGTCCTCCTGGTACACACTCCAGTGACAGGACTGATTTTACAGAAGGCCTGCAAGTTCTGAAACTTGACTCTGAGTGTCTGGCTACTTGCTTAACATCCTTAGAAAGTCTAAATATTTTTTTTCCAGTAAAGATATTTAATCAGATATTTAATCATTTGAAAAATCAATGTATTCTCCTTTTTAAGTCATAAACTGATGTTTCTGAAATATCCAATTTATATTTATGCTTCAAATTTAGCCTCATAATTGTTGGAGCCCATTGAAACAGTTGAGTCATCTGACTACATTTATAAGAACTCCAGCTTAATGCATACAATTATAAAAATAAAAAGAGCTGGGTGTGGTGGTACATGCCTTTAATTCCAGTACTTGGGAGGCAGAAGCAGGCTGATCTCTGTGAGTTCGAGGCCAACCTGGTCTCCATTAGTGAATCCAGGCCAGCTGTGGCTACTGGGAGACCTTGTCTCAAAAAGATTAAAAAAAATAAAAATAAAAAATAAATAAATAAATAAATAAATAAATAAATAAATAAATGGAAAGAAATTATCAGCCTTACCCACCCGTGAATCCTGTGACCTACAACTGGCCTGGCAAGATATGCCCACCAGTGTATTAGTGGCACAAGTTATGAGACTAACCAAACACTTTCTGATTGGATTTGTGATCTGCTTTATAGGATGGAATCCATACCTGGCATTGGTATGAGGTTTAGGAGCCTGAGGCTAGAGCATAGGGGAGAGCTTAATACTAGCTTTCCAGTAAATATAGTATTAAACTGACTCCTAATGACTTAACTGTTACTCATGAATTAATGTTTCTCTCAGTTCTCACCAGAGAAATTTCCTTATGCAGCTGATGGTGATTAACATAGAAACCACATCTGGCCAAAGCAAAAGACTTACACCTGTATCAGCCTTCTGCCTCCCAGTGCTCAGGGCTCATTGAGGAAGAGGGGGCAGACAGATTGTAAGAGCCAGAGGTGATGGATGTACACAAAGAAACAGAGTTTTCCAGACATCTGGTCAGTTACTCACAGCATAATGACAGCAGGCACAAGTCCCATGCAAGCTCAAACCAGATAAAATCCCAGTGTAGACATGGGGAAGTGGGTAAGAACTATCCATTTCTACCCCAGCCCAACCTGAAGAACCTTTGGCAATCGATGGAAAAGGCTGGGAGGGGTAGAGTCCGTCTCTTTCAAGGTAGAAGGGACTCTCAATAGGTTAGCCAGGCTCCAGTGGTTGGACTCACACTGAAGGGCATTTGGGGACACAAATTAGACTGTGTAGGCCTGAATATAGTACATTAAATTAGGCAGAGTCAGTAAGGGAGAGGATCTAAGCATTATCAAATTATACTGTATGAAAATCACAAAAATTAAATAAAATCTTTCTAAAAGAATCAGTAAAAAATTATAATAGAATAAGATTAAGAAAAATACTTCTCTGATGGAAACAGACAGTAACTTTGAAATTTCCTATGTATGATTTGGCATTTCTTTTATATCTTATGTATTGTAATATTCACGGTGTCTGTCATGCAAAAGGAAGCTGTGGGCTCACTATGGTTATAGACCCTGCAGTGGCCATGAAGAACACCTTTAGAAAAATCCTTACCCTGAGTACTTATGTTTGGATATATTTCCTGTCATTAGGTAACCCTGCCCAGCCCACCTCCCTGCACTACATGAACCCTTACCAGCTGAATGCCTATGGGATGGCGCTGAAGGCCGTGGGAGAAATCGTGCAAGACTACGACAGTGATAAGATGTTCCCCGCCCTGGGCTTCGGGGCAAAGCTGCCTCCGGATGGAAGGGTGTCTCATGAGTTTGCTTTGGTAAGAATATATTGAAAGGGGTTGATGTTTTAAAAAGAGTAACATGCAGCCGGGCATGGTGGCACAGGCCTTTAATCCCAGCACTTGGGAGGCAGAGGCTGGTGGATCTCTGCGAGTTCCAGGCCAGCTGTGCTACAGGGAGACCCTGTCTCAAAAAAAAAAAAAAAAAAAAAAAAAATGCTAGATATGTCAATACTGATATTTTCTTTCTTCACTGGTTTAGGTAGCAAACCTTAGAGTGACCATAGACTCTGCTCAATTTGGGTGATTAGTTGGCTGAGTAGAATGATCTTAACCTTAAAAAGAACAATTATCAAACGAGCATGTATTCATAAACAGCAGTCCATTCTGCTTGCCTATTGCTATACAAAAAATAACCCTAACATTTATTGATTTAAAATAACTGGATATATTATGCTCACAGTTTGTGGGCCAGGAATTAAGTCAAAATATTATAGAATGAGCAGATTTGTGGTTTAGTTTTTCTTTTATAAGTTAAAGGCCTCGGCTGGAATGCTTCGAATGGTTAGGAATGGTTGGAAATGTTTGGCCAAGGTGATGTTTCTGAACCTTAGTTTTGGCTGTTGGTCCAGGTTCTCAGATCCTGTCTCTGCTGTGTGTTTATGGCAGCATGCACACTATGATGTCATCTCTGTGTATGATGTGTCCAGTTTCTGGCCTGAGCTGAGGTGGCTGAAGTAGCCAGGGTTGCCTCTTACGCACAGGTTACCATGGGCTTTGTTCTAGTATATAGTCCCATGGTAATCAGATTTCTTGCAAGTAGCCAGCTTTCCTGAGTGTTCTGAAGTCTGGGACAGGAGTTCCAGACCCATCGGAGCACAGGCTTAGAAGTTCCAAAACCTGAGTTACTAGACCTGTCCAGATTTTCAAGGCAGGAGGATCAATTTTCACTTCTCAGTGGTGGCAAAGTCAAATACAGGTTGGCTGTCTTTAACTGACCGTCCTGGTTGACGCCTAAGAAAAGGAATGATTGTGTTAAACTGAGTGGAGTGGCTAATCTTCCTTCCTTACGCGTGCTTTTACTCTCTTCTTCCTCCCTAACTCTCACCTTCCTGATTTTCCACCTTCACATTCATTCCTCACAATCAGGCCAATGTCAAGGATGATTTTGTAAAAGTTTGTACTTAAATCTAATTGTTTACAATCCAAGTTTATCATAATATAGAGACTGCAGCCCTCATCAGATATATGACCTGCTGTTTCATCCCAAGACTTTCTAGTCTCTGGAACCTTGAAAATACATTTCTGTTTATGACAAATTACCAGCACTCAGGCCTGCAGTTAAGGCAGTATGAAATCAAGAGACCATATCTTTGTAAACGTATGAAAAATAGCCTCCCAAATAAATATGGAAACGATTATGCCAGTGATGGTAATGCTGTCTCAACCTTAGTACTGCTGATTACTATGTTTCAAAGTTAAGGGGATGTCACAGACAGAGTATTTGAACTGCTATTCAGTAATTACTGGGCTCAAAACACATAATTTATACTCTTACATAATCTACATAATTGTCATGTGTGGTAGATACATGGCAGACACATTGTATTACTTTTTTTTGTTTTTTGGGTTTTTTCTTTTGGTCTTTTTGAGACAGGGTCTCCCTGTAGTCCCTGCTGGCCTGGAACTCACTATGTTAGACCAGGCTGGCCTTGAACTCACAGAGATTCCCCCTGCCTCTGCCTCCCGAGTGCTGGGATTAAAGGCGTGTGCCACCAGGCCCAGCTGTATTATTCATTTTTAACAGAGTGTCTCCAGAAGCTACATGGGAAGGCTCAGTCAGCAATGGCTATAGTTCCACAAGACAGGACTCAAACCTGGATCTTTTTGGTTTTAGGATCTACTCTTAACCATTATTAAACTGTAGCTTCCAAAGCAGCCATGCTCTACCACATAGATACATACAATGCACACATGTATGCACTCCCACAGACTGACTTTTTTTGAATAAATTTAATTTTTGACATATTTTGAGGCATCTTTGTGCATCGTGATTTCCATAGTCGCTCTTGCTTTTCCATGACCCACATCTTAGCAAAGACTGCTGTGTGTGGTGGGGAGAGTCCTTTCTTTCTTTCATGAAATGGCCTACATGCCACACTCCAATGTCGAATAAAAATGAGCATCTATTGGGATTTTAATATGTCTCAGAAACTTAAAAAGCCATGAATCACTCGTGTGAGTCTAAGTTTTAAGTGCCTCCGGGAGGAAGGTCATGAGGTATTTTAAAGCCTAGGAAAAGGAATAATCGTGTCCTACTAACGGAGGCTTATTAATTTTTTACACATTTCATTTTTCCCTTGTCATAATTTTCTAATCTCCTCCTTTTCTGTCTTTTCTTTGCCCTACCTTCATTCCTGTAGTCAAACTGCTACTGCTAAGAAAGAACGTTTTATTATTTGTTACATAAGCTGTTCCTGAAACCCAATTCAGAGCCTCTAAGATAAAGGTCATACCCCTTGGTATCTATGAGAAATGGCCCCCATGTTGCTGAGGAAACAGAGGGTGTGTTGATGTTGATGGTACTCTATCAACCTTTGTATTGCCTAATCATATTACTTCAGTTGTTTTCGAAGCATTTTTATTTTCTTGGCTAAGATTAATATTAGTTAAGTGGGTCTCTGAGAGAATATTGACACCCTTTTAAGCTCATTCCAATTGATTATGAGACAAAACTTGCTTCTCTATAATTTGGTCAAGGAATTAATTTTTAAACAGATTTTAAGTTTCTGTTGGAACTTATTGCAACTTTGTCATTAAGAGGAACATCTAATTTGGTAGTTGTAAAATACTTTAAGTTATCTGATATAATACAGATCGTTTATTCTTAAAAAGATAGGACTTTACATTATGCAGTATTCTCGTCATCCCAGACATTTGAAGACACCTAGAGCAACTTACTATGGTATTAAGACTAATTCAGAAATCAGCCTTTAAGCAACTCATTATGATGAATCAACTGTCCAGTGATTATCTTTCTACCATCAAAAGAGTGATCTTGTAATTTCATTTCCAGAAGAAAAGAAAGAGTTTCATAGATATGTAAAGCCCCCAGTGAAAATGTTAAAATACTGATGATAAAAGTAGCTCAGAACTATCCCAGTTTGTAATTGTTCCCTTAAGGCAGACATAGAATACATTTTTCTATGCCTAAAATCTGCAATGAGTTTTGATTCTAATTAGTTTCATATTTTGTCAAGGGAAAAGAACATCATGAAATCTTATTTAAAAGAAGGTTGACTAGGTCAGCGCAGCGAGCTGGAGAGATGACTCAGTTGGTGAAGTGCTATGAAAGTATCAGGACCCATGCTCAAATGCCCAGCATTATCATAAAAATCTAATAAGAAGCTGGACACAGTGTTGAGTCCATAATCCAAATGCTGGGCAGGAGGATCCCTGAGGTGCACTGACCAGCCAGGCTGGCCAAACTGATGAGCTCCATGTCTAGCAAAAGACTCTGTCTCAAAAAATAAAGTGAATTGCAACTGAGGAAGACATCCAGTGTTGGCTGACATCTGGCTTCCACACACATTCATGCGCGTGCACGTGTGCGCGCGCACACACACACACACACACACACATACACACACACACAAATAGGACACCTCTGATCAACATAAAAGCCAATATTTTATGCTAAACATTACAGTTTTATTTATATTTTAACTTCATACAGTTTGTATGCCAACTTAAAGATGTAAAGAGGTCTTCTATTTCTTAATATTTTATTTATGCTTTGAGATTTACAAATACGCATACAATGTATTTTGATCAGCTCCACCCCCACTTCCCTCTCTAACTCCTCCCAGCTTCCCTCCCGGCCCCTTCAACATCATATCCTATTTTTTGCTTATTTTATAGCCCACCGAGTCTAATTAGTGCTGCACATACACACATGGGTGTAGGGCACACTGGAGCATCATCAACCACTAGGGGCCTCGCTCCTGATGAACATGGACATTCCCTGTTACAGCAGCCATCTGCTGCCAGCCACTCCTCAGCTGGAACTGGGGCCTGGGAGCCTCTTCCTGGTCCATGCTGGGATGTTTGCTGGCTTGGTCTTGTGCAGACAGCCATCACTGCTGTGGATTCAGGAGTGCAGTGATCCTGTCATCTCCAGAGGATATTGTTTCACAGTGGTCATCCTTGACCTGCAGCTCCTGTCATGTTCCCACTCCCTCTTATGTGTTGTTCTCTGAGCCTTGAAAGTGTATGTGTGTGTGTGCAACTTATAAGGTTGTAGGTTTCCATATGACTTTTTCAAACAGTTTTGGTGTTAGTTAACCCTCCTCTCACCCAGTCTACCCTACCCAGCCACCTCCCCCCTTACCTAAACTTTCCCTTCTCCCATTATTCCAGTTTCTTCCATTCATAGCCCCATGTTCTATCCCTGCCTTCTTAGGACCCCCCCCCACACACACACCGATGTCCTCTTCCTGCTTTCCTGGCTCCTACAGAAACTCCAGGTTAAACACACACATCTCTTAGATAGGGTCTAGAGCAATGGTTCAGCAATTAAGAGCACCTCAGTTCCCAGGACCCATCACAACCAAATGAAACTCCAGTTCCAGAGGATGGGATCTGATGCCCTCTTCTGGCCTCTGTGGACTATGCAGGCAGGAGGGATATGTACCTCAAATACTCATACACATAAAATAAAATTAAATGATTCTTTTAGAAAAAGACTCAAAGCTAGGATCCACATAATGGAGAGAACATGTGGCATTTGTCTTCCAAGGCATCATCATCATCATCAGTTACATAAAAATCAGTAGTTAAACACTGTCTCACTTGGATAACTGTGGAATCTGAACCAGGAGAATTAAACCTAATGACGTCAGCCCACGTAAAGAGTGAGAAAGGGTGGCGTGTTCATGTGGGTGCTGTCACCTGAACATGAGCTTGTTAGTCACCAGCTCCATTTCTTTTGAACAGCATGGGCATTCCCCCTCTCCCCACCTTATCTTGTTTTTATGCTTCTCCCTCCAAATTATATATCTTCTGGCCTTTTCTCTAGCTAGGGTCATCAGCTGTGGTCTGAAACGTGTGCATATGGCAAATACTTTGCGTTTTTCCTGCTTTCAAGTAAAATTGGTAACATGGGGTGGGGGCGGCTTTAATATGTATTTACTGCCTATAGTAAATTGGAAAGAGGTAGCATAGGTTAAAGATATGGAGTGGAAGTTGGGACTAGATATCTAACCACTCAGAGGTAAATACGATTAACATCTGGTTTTCTTCTTTACAGATTTTAATTTGGTCATCTCATATGTATACAAACCTATGTGGAATTAAGATACTTTTACTTTTAAAATGTGTGATAAGAATATGCTTCTCAGATTATGTTGAATTTTTATGCCCCCTCTTTTTCAGGGTATGCATTTTTATGTCATTTTATTGTGATCTCTATAGTATCTATTGTGGACTAGTTAATTCATTAATGGTTTTTGCTATTACAAATCTTTGAGTTCAGTGTATATTAATATACATTTAATTGCTCATCACAGAAACTAATAATTCCTTCCTGTTTTTTGCCTGTAACTTTTCATGAGAACGGCAATCCTCAGAATCCCTACTGTGATGGTATTGAAGGGGTCATGGAAGCTTATTACCGAAGTCTGAAATCTGTGCAGCTATACGGACCCACTAACTTTGCTCCTGTGATAAATCATGTAGCGAGGTGAGTACAGACCAGGAAGCTTATTCTGTGTGCTTGGGCTGCTGCATCATGGTGAGATGTATGTGCTTGGCAGCATAGTTCCACGGCTCAGAGGTTCGCCATGGTGAGATGTGCTTGGCAGCATAGTTCCACGGCTCAGAGGTTCTCCATGGTGAGATGTGCTTGGCAGCATAGTTCCATGGCTCAGAGGTTTGCCATGGTGAGATGTATGTGCTTGGCAGCATTGGTTCCACGGCTCAGAGGTTTGCCATGGTGAGATGTATGTGCTTGGCAGCATAGTTCCACGGCTCAGAGGTTCGTCATGGTGAGATGTATGTGCTTGGCAGCATAGTTCCACGGCTCAGAGGTTCGCCATGGTGAGATGTATGTGCTTGGCAGCATAGTTCCACGGCTCAGAGGTTCGCCATGGTGAGATGTATGTGCTTGGCAGCATTGGTTCCACGGCTCAGAGGTTTTTCTAATTGCTCTCTGTGTCCGGCACATCTCAGCCTCTCTGCAGTTAATGTCGTGGCTAATTTTATAAATCCCCAGACCGCTACCTGTATAGAGTGTCCAGTACAGAGAGGAGAATGAATTTGCATATGTCTCAAACTACATGCACTGAAGGAAATGTTAAAATGTGAGCTACATATACTTATCAATGTTTCCTTAGCACATGAATGATTTAGACACCACTTTTAAAATCCCTAAAATGTTTGGCCTAATCAAACTGAAAAAGCCTGTAATACTCTTAACTTGAAATAAACACAAAAGGTGTCAGTCTCGTTCCCCCTTAAATATGTAGCTAGAAATTGAAAGCGATCTTCATTCTGATCGGTTCATCAATGTACAAAGACAGTCTGAGACCCCAGTTCTCCGAACGTTCTGGTATTTTACAGCCCTCCCTGTTGGGCATGATCAGAAGTTTAAATGTGCTCTACTTTGCAGTATGTGGGCCACAGAAAGACACTCATATATCTCTTCACTCGGGTGACTTGGGGACCTCCCTGCAGAACTCCTCAGGGTGACAAAGATATATGAGGCTTGTTCTCCTAGTGTGAATTGTAGTGTCCATTTCTAGTGGGTTTAAAATTCCAACCACGGTAAACAAAGCCTCAGTCACTGTGCTGTTAAAGCTTGTATCTTTGATCATCAGTCTTGGCCACAGAGGAAGTAAAATACAGTTGCCCATCTCTGTGCACTTGCTCACCTTGTTACACAGTCAAAAGTAGTTTGAGATGACAAATTAATAACTTAAAATTTACATAACACGAGCCAGGCAGGGTGGAGCACACCTTTAATGCAGAGGGATCTCTGTGAGTTCAAGTTCAGCCTGGTCTACATAGTGAATTCCAGGTCAGCTGTGGCTACAGGGAGACTCTAACACAAACAAACAAACAAACAAACAAACAAAAATTTCCATAACATAAAATTTTCATTTCGAAGTGTTTAAATGTATGCATCCCTTTACTCCATATTAAAAAGATACACAGGCCATTGTATAAATGGCGATAAAATTATTGAAATAAAACATCTTTTTTCATGAATACTTAATTCCATGAACTAATAGGAAACTGAAAGAATATTTCATAAATCTGATCCACCTATGAACTTTGATGTAAAAAATCCTAGAAATCATGACAGAAACTCCAAAGAAATATGTTTGAATTTCACAACCCTGCCAAAGTTGACTTGTCTCAAATTTGTCATAGTAATATTAACATATAAATTATAGATTGACTATTTTCAAAAAAAGGTAGTGAGACGGCTTTTAACAAGAGTTTTAACTATGCAGTCAACTGACATGTTCATTACCAGGTTCCATTAGAAGGAAGCTTCTATAACATAATTTGATCTACAAGTCTGTGCTGCAGTTTGCTTTCTAAAAAGGGAGTGGCCTGTGGCCAGCCCAGTACTTCCTACTTCACAAGTTCTGCAGCATATTAATAAACGTTTAATACTTTTGTGTAGAGGCTACATTTAAGCCTCTAATTTAAAAGAAATGGTTGCACCCCACCCGAGGAAGAAATGGCAGATGATAGCTGCTTGGAGAAAGACAGTTTCCTTTAAGGGTGAGACACTTGTAGGCTGACAAGGCTCCAATGGATGCACCCATACCGAAGGGCATTTGGGGACACAAGTTTGACTCTACAGGCAAATATATATGGAGTATATGAAATTGGGTGGTGGGGCAGTATTAGGTACAGATGAGGGAGGGGATCTAAATTCAATCAAAATATATTGCATGAAATTTGAAAATTTTTTAATTCAAAAAAAGAAATGGTAGTATGAGGTTGATTTTGTCTAAAATTGAGATTTACTTCCAAAATAAATATTGCAATGTATTAAGCAATTGCCATAGAAACTTCCAAAATAAATATTGCAATGTATTAAGCAATTGCCATAGAAACTAATTTGCACTGCAGATACTGATAAATACTAAAGTGGATTGGACAGCTCTTTTGTAAAATATGATTTATTTTCAAATTAACTACATCAAGCAATAGAGAAAGAACATAGACTTATACATTTTTCAATACTATTAATTATTAGGCATTAATAAAATTTAGATATGTTATAAACTGCCAGATTTCTTTGAGTTTTTAAAATAAACATCAAGCCAGAGAAACTTCAGGTTCACTGTGGTCTGCTCGGCCTGTGTCGCTAGCTCTGAACATAGTCTCACTTACGTACCTCCTGAGTGAAAAGTCTTTTACGCTTCAAAGTGGTATTTTACATGACTTTATAAAGCTCAACTTTTGTGCTGTTTTGTAATGTGGTAGAAATTTGCCATCCTTAGCAGCATGATTTTGCTGGAACAGCCTGGAAGCTTTTCTGTTACTGTTTCCTGGTTTCCATTAATCACGTAGACTATAAACTCTATATCTGAATCATCATCAGTAATGAATACTTTCTCTTTTTTCAAATGACTATTCAGATATTAAAAACTGAATTCCTGAGCGACATCATCAGGTTCCTCTTCCTGAAAAAGTGAAGAACAGGGCTCTCTGCTTTGAGCTGCTGCTGTTGGCCATATCGCCAACAAATTTATGCAGATTCCTCAATGTTCAGGATCAGTTGTTCTGTGGTATCAGGGTGTTTCTGACTAACCGTTGTGGAACTAATCAGTCTGTTTACAAGGTGTGAGTGAACGAGCTACTGGTCTCTTCATCAGCCTGTTCACAGTCATCTTACATACAGCATGAATAAAAACTAGTTTATTTTGTACCCAAAAGACTGGTAAATACATTTATTTTTCATATGATTACTAAATCTACTCCAAGATGATATGCTGTTTGTGCCTAACCTCTTCAAGCAGGATCAATTAGGGTTCTTTATGTTGACATCAATTTCTTTGGTCAGTCAGTATAATTTTCCATAAATTCATTTGGATTTAAGGACAAAAATCTGGTAGGTTATTTCAGAAAAATATGTACTTAGGAGTTATATAATGTAGACTTCTCACATATGTGTAAATATTTTCACAAGATTAAAAGGTTTGTTGCCACTTCCATATGGCTGTTTGGCAACATCATACATGGAGGAATTCTGCATTTCCTGTTCTGTTCTTTAACTCTCTATTGTTTTCCAGATACGCCTCTTCTGTGAAGGATGGCTCCCAGTATTTTGTGCTCCTGATTGTGACAGATGGGGTGATCTCAGACATGGCTCAAACCAAAGAATCCATAGTCAACGTGAGTAGGGTTAGAGTCTTCGGCTCAGTAACAGCATAGTGCCACTTAGGTTGAAAACAAAATCTATTTTAGGTGATTTCACGGAGAAATAAAATGTCCACATCTTTGGAGCTGATCTCTTTCTTAACTTTATCCAGAAACCCTCACACATTTCTTTTCATAGGGACCAGGGGGAGGGTAGCATTACCTTCATAGGTTGATTTTGTTTTCAAACAGTACATTAGTTTGATCTACTTGTGTACAATTTTATGACGTTATATTACAGGTACATGAAGACTATGTAAGGTAATCCTATTTCCACACGTGACTTAAAAGCCATCCTGCTCATTATTATCCTAATAATATGTTTTGTTTATTGATGATTTTATTATATTCTTTTGAAAATTATCTGTGAGATGTATATTTGTCATATGGTGGCCTGCTAAATAATTTCTGATTCTCTACCTTTCCACTGCATGAGCTTAACAATGCTTAGCACAGAGTAGAAGTTTAATAAAAACCATTTGAACAAATGGTTTGTCAGGCCTCACAATTTTGTTAACACAGAAAATATTGGTAGTTATTACTTGGTATAAGGAAAACTAAGTACATGCAAGGAAAACACAAATGATTTTTCCCTTTTCAGACCAACCAAACAGTGTCTTAGTGTATTTTGTTTTAACTTGAACCAACTTGGGTTGAATTTACACTGATTTCCTTTCTGGTTGGTGCTATTAATGGGCACTTTAATGTATAGACTTTTTAATTTATGGCTGAGTGGAGAGCTTGCACTAAGAAAATAGTTATTCACAGTTCATCGGCTTCACAGTTGTGGTTGCTGTAATGCCATCCATCTGACACTGGGTCTCAGTCTTACCATTTGGTTGCAAAAATTAGATATTAATTTATTTGTGTGTGTACATGCACGTGTGTGTGCACATGTACCACAATGTGCATGTGGAGGTCACAGGACAACTGGAAGGGCTCAGTTTTGTCCTTGCTCCCTGTGGATCCCAGAGCTTATGGGGTCACTGGGCACAGCAGCAAGTGCCTTACCCAGTGCCCCGTCTCCCTTGCCCCACTTAATTATTTGAAATGGTAACATAATTTAAGTAATAGATATGTTGAGAAGTATGTTTCCACATCGGTTGTTTCATTTCATATCACTCCATGGATATTTAACACATAAATTAAGCTAAAAATAATTCTTGGTAGTCATTGTTTGTACTTACCCATTCACTGTGAGAACAATTTCTGACATTTCCCTGTGATAATAACATCTGATAATAATGTTTAATATTTAAAAAGCTATCTTAATGAACATCTGTAAGAACATACCAGATAAAATCAGGATATTATTTTCTTTTTTTTATTAAGAACTAAATTTCTTAATTGAAATCTGTCATTGTTTTTGAAGGCCTCAACACTTCCAATGTCGATAATTATAGTAGGTGTTGGACCAGCAGAATTTGATGGTGAGTAGCGAATTATTAGTGGTACATGTAGAAGTGTACATAATCCACTATGCTACTGTTACGTTTCCGTCATCCTCTGCTATATAGAAGGATGTGATTGAGTTTTGGCATAGTGACCGTATGGTATAATTATAGCTGATGAGCATTTACGTTAAGATGAGCAAATTAAAGACTGCCATCCATACTCTGCAGTTTATAGATTAACTCAACATGCACCTTGCCATTTCCTGAGAGTTTGTATTTTGAAATAATAGGGAAGAAGGACAGTAATAAATTGATGCTTAATTCCTAAGGTACAAAAGACTCGAGGAAAACACACTTTGTGGGGGATGAGCATAGACATCCGTTAAGAACAGTGCCAAGTTAATCATTAAGTTCTGAAAGGAAACGTTAACCACAAGCGCAATATGCTAATCTAATAGGTTTCCAGCCATTGGCTAGTTGAACAAAGAAGTCATGTGTGAAAGTGCAAGGCAAAGTGAAAATTTCTATATTTCTAGAAATATACTGAACTGGCTGGCTGAGGACTCTTCCACTGGGGCCTGAGCTAGTTAAGTGACCGACGTTTGTTTGACTAGTGATCTGAATAAACATCTTTAAAGACAGTAGTTCTGGTCATCTGGCAAATTTCTTTTAGTGGCTCCACTGAACAGCAGTTGAGTGACCACATTAGCTGTTTTTCACTAACAGAGGCCATTTGTTGAGCTTGGAACTTGGTCTTCCAAGTTCTAAAGCAAAAGTTATTTGGACTGGAGAGATGGTTCAGTAGTCAGGAGCACTGGCAGCTCTTCCAGGGGACCAGGGTTTGGTTTCCAGCACCCACATGGCAGCTAACAACCACTGGTAACTCCAGTGCCAGGGGATCTGATACCTTGTTCTGGTCCCCATGGTCATTGAATGACATGGCCACACTTCCATACATGCAGGCAAAACATTCATACACAAGAAAAGTAAAAATAAGCCATTTAGTCCTGACTGCTGCTGTTTTCTTTGCGCATCCATGTCTCTTGGGGTGTGAATCTGAGACACCCCTCTGGGATGGGAATAAGATGACACATCTTTTCAAACTTTATGCTCCTGATAATCAACACTAGCCATTGAGAGACGGTGATTCCCAAACATTGCCAGTTCTAAGCTAAAAAATGTCATATTTTCGTCTTTTGATACTTGTTGCTTTATCCTCTAAAGATAGACCACTCATGGGGATAATTCTGGTCTACCAGACTGTGGAAATCCACATTGGGTCTGTGACCACACAGGTGGGAAGCCTTGAACCCTTTTGTTCTTCAAGGGCCGCCCTTTCCCCAATACAGGAAGGCAGACGGTGCTCCTTCTGGGTTGTGTTATCTCTGGCACCTCTTCTGCGGATCAGCACACTAGTGTTTGGGTGCTGTCCTTACTCCGGCTGTAGCTGATTACCTTCTTCATTTCTTTTGTTCTCTGTGAATTTGCAAGGTGGTAATTTGTCATTTCTCTAGCAGAGGTCCAGAACTAACTGGAGAAAATCATGCAGGAATCCTTCAGATCAGCCTATCAGTTTGATCAACAGTGCAGAATTGAAGAATATGGGATAGCCTGTGGACATGACAAGACTTTCCACTCCTTGATGGCTCCTACCTCTCCCTAGGGTTCCCTGATGGAGTCGCTTTCTGTGGCTTAACCTGCCCAAGACACTGCTACTTAAAGACGTTTCTCAGAGTCCAGTGTCATTCTGTGGCGCACTTCTAGTGTTGTGGGGAAAGAGCGAGGGAACAGTGTAGACAGAAAAGGAACGTGGCTTCCCAGTAGAATTCTGTCCCACCTGCAAAACTGGAGTGGCATTGTCCTCTGCAGACATGAGAGGAGGGAGGCAGGGCCTGCAGAATCTAGCTTCTGTTAACACCATGGCAGAAGTTCTTCAAACAGTTGTTGCTGTTTGTTTTGTTTTAATTTTATTTGTGTGCCTACATTGTCTGCACGTATGTGTACTCATGTTGTGCAGAGCATGTGGAGGTCAAAAGAGGGTGTCAAATTCCCTAGAACTGGAGTCAATGGACAGTTGTTAGCCTCCATGTGTGGGTCCTCTGCAAGAACAGCCAGTGCTCCTAACTGCTGGGCCACTGCTCCAGCCCCTTCGTTTTTATTATTATTATTACTACTATTGTTTTGTTTTAAGGTGGTTATTCAGCTAGGAGACAAATACATGCCTCTCTAAAGTACTTTGCTTTTTTTTCTCTTTCCTTCTAAAACCTATTTCTTCTCCACCTTGGCTAAGAAAAAGAAAAATACTGATGATTGACAAAGAAAAGTCACTGGCTCTCCTGTCAGAGAGCCTCTTTTAGCACCTCAAAAAAAGTCAAAGCAGCTGGCTACCTGTTCTGACCCAAACTGGAGGAAGGGATGTAAGTTCACGAAATCTCTCACAGCTAGAGCCAAGGGCAACTTGCCCCTCCAGGACACAGTCTCTGGCCCTGTGGACCAGATAGACAGGAAATCTGGAGGATGGAGGCCGACTGCTGCTATCTTCCATCTTCTTACTCTCCAAACCTCATCTTCTAATTCATGCTGCCCACAACCTTTAAACTCAAAGGGCATGCTAAAGAGCAGGATGCATTTTCTAGAACCTCTTCTTTAGACAGGATTATTAATTTTCTTCATTAATGGGAAGGAGGCACTCAGTAGGAGGATGAAGATAAGACCTGTTATCACCTGAGTCTTGATTTCTTTTTAGAGTGGATATAGGGGAACTGTTGTGATTTATGAACATGTTAGGGACTAGGGGTGTTTCTGTGATTGCTGGAATGCCACCAGCAGCGTACAATTAATGTCGTGAAGTGGTATGAAAATTATGGAAGTGAGCACAGATGATAACTGCTTAAAACACATGAGCATAGCATTTACATTTCCAAGGAGTAGAGGGGAAAAATGTAGGTCTTTTGTAGTTTGAATAAGATAGCAGCCTCACTATAAGTAATGCATACATTTTATAAAATTATGGCATATATTGTATATCTAGGTAAATCTGTTCCCAAAACATTGACCTATGGACAGATGTAGAAAATTGAGGGGCTGGAGAAATGGCTGAACAGAGGCAATGGCTGTTCTTACAGAGGACCCAGGTTCAGTTTCCACATGGCAGCCAACAACCGTCCTTAACTCCACTTCCAGGGGATCCGACACCCTCATCTGACCTCCGTGGGCACTACATGACATGGGTACACTTGCATGTGCAGCAGTACACTCATACACATAAATTAAAAATAAAATATTTTTAAAAGAAAGATAAAATTGAAAACAATGCTTTTTTAACCTAAATGCATTATCCAAGGACCAAAGAAAATAGCACAGTGGTTAGGCTAGACTCCGAGCAGTGTCTTGTTTGTCAGGGTAACAGAGGCAGACTTTATCTTTGCAAGTGGCTCTGTGGAGTCTGGTGAATGTCATATGTACAAAAAGGATTATCAGTAATAGAATTGCACTTTAAGCACAAATTAGTACCTCATACAGCTCATTATTTAGAGAACCCTCAGTGCAAATTCAGTGAAGTCTGGGAAATGTTTATAACTGCAGTGTGGCAGCGAATGTCATCAGCTGTTCCTTGATATGGCAGTATTTCCAAATACCAGCTGATCCAGCCAACATTGAACTTATCTCTGAACTAACACAGTTACCATACTTAACAGAAATCATATTGTTTTACAATTATCTCCAAAATAAAACTTGGGAAGTGTTTGTTGTATCAAGAGAATGAAGTTCAACTTTTGAAAGTGGCGTGATATTTGTTGTCAAATTTCTTAAACTAGAAAGAACAAAACTTGAAATTGATGCGTTACCACGGCTTGCAGTCATACAGGCATTTAACCCAGATAGAGTTGGCAAGATGGAGAGATGGGGCCCAATCGGTCCCACAATGCACTGACTGTGCCTGACTTTCAAAGGGCATCAAGCTTGGGGCTCTCTTGGAACCTGTCCACAGAGTGGGCGCTGATCAGGTTTTGTGGTGAGAATGGTTTAACAAATGAAGATTGCAACACATGTTCCACAGCTGCACAGGGTACGCGACTATGTACATACCTGCTGTGTTCCTATCTCACATAGGCGTAACATCTCAACTGCACTGAATAAATTATCTTCTTTCCTTTTCAAGCAATGGTCGAATTGGATGGAGATGATGTAAGAGTCTCCTCCAGAGGAAAGTATGCAGAAAGGGACATTGTGCAGGTAAGCGATTAAGTAAAAGTATCCGCATTGCTCATTGTGAAGACACTATGTCTGCTCTGATATGTAAATAAACAACTTAAATTGAAATCGAGAGTTCCAGATTCTATTCATTTAGTTGGTTAACTTTCTGTGAGCTGTAACTTAATAACTTGAACTACTATCAGCACTCATTGACTTCTACTTTTATCTGAGATTTACCATATATAAAGTTCAAGTACTAATAGCTGTCATTTCCTAATTTACTATTATGAGAAAGTATCATTTTGATCTTTAGTAAAATTAGAAGCTAGAAACACAGCGGACTTTTTAATTAATTCATTATTTAGTCTTCCAGTAAACTATGCATATTTTAAGACAGCTGAGACATACCAAGAATAAATAAATTTATTATTAAAAACACATCAAGGAGATCGTAAGAGTTGTCATGTTTTCCAGAGTATGATTGATTGGAATAATGAAGACATAGGTCCTAAAACACGGTGTGACATAGAAGATACATAATGCATGACATGTAAATTATCCAATGGATTTTATGTAGAGAAAATGTACAAGAAAAATGCTTAGCTAAACATTGCTATTTGGGAAGTGATCATAAAAATTCAGAAATTCAAAATACAGTTAAAATTTGTCATAAAAGCAAGAAGTTAATTCGACTAAATGGTTGCATGCTTTATTTAGAATCTTTACATCTTTTAAGATGCAAGAGGGGAGAAGGCCCATGATGTAGACCTTTGTAAACAGAACAGACACAGAGTTTCAGTGTCATTTAAGAACATAATGTTAAGGTTTTAAGAATATAAACAGTGGGCATCAATATTATCTCCTAAATAATCGCCTGTATATTCACTCATAGTGCAACTACTATAAGAATATAATTTGGTGTTTTCATTTTTTTTGTTTGTTTTGTTTTGTTTTTGTTTTTTGAGACAGGGTCTCCCTGTAATCCCAGCTGGCCTGGAACTCACTATGTAGATCAAGCTGGCCTCAATCTCACAGAGATCTGCCTGCCTTTGCCTCTTGAATAAAGGCATGCATCACCATGCCAACTTAAGAAAATAATTTGTAATTACACAGAATTCAGTCGAAATTCTAACTTGGACAAGCTCTTTAACCTTTGGTGTTCTGGAGGACAACCAGCCTTATGAAGATAATGTTAGGTAGTCTATGATATATACCCCGGAAATATAGCTCATTACTAAGCAACAAAATATTGATTCAAATAATTTGAGGGAGAAATACTATAAATTAATAGATCAAGGGCTTAGGGTGTAGCTTTCATACTTAACACCTTACGTTTGATCCCAGCATTACAACATAAATAAATCAATAGTATTAAAAGGAAATATTTAAAAATCACTTAAAAATTCTTAAATTAGAATTTTTAAATTGTTCTTCATTAACCAATAGAAGCACATTTTAACATAGAAATAACTACTTAATTGTTTTAAAACATAGCTGAGTGTGATTTAAACTTTTCAACTAGCATACAGTAAAAAGCACACACACACACACACACACACACACACACACACGTGAATGATTTGGCTAAAAGCAGCTGAGGAAAAGACCATGGTGATGTCATGTATTGAAGAGCGTGGTGGTGCCATTTCCAAAGTTAGACACGTGACTTTTCCCTTTAACCTCTTCATCCTAATTGTAGGCCCATGTAATTTCATCTTATCTAAAAGCTCCACATAATGCCCTGTTCACTGTTTCCAGAAATCAGATTACTGAAAGGAAATATTCTAAAGTCAGAGGACTTTGGAATGTGTTCTGTTGCTACCATAATGCATTTTTATAAAATTAGCAGGGGAAACCGCTTTGAGGTTTGATCTAAGTGGTGTTTAAGGGAAACAATATAACTTTATGAGGAATTGAGATGGCTCACATCACTGACTTCTTTTTAAAGGAGCATTATATTATACTTGAACCATACCTGTTTGCATATAAAATAAGAACTGCCTGTCTCCCAGTGAACAGACTGCTTTGGGAAGAATACTGAGAGACAAGCTGACCTAGAGGGTCCATGAAAGCCTGACCTCACTCTGATCTTGGACGAGCCAGTGCATCTCCATTAGCCTTTGTTTCATTATTCGAGGAGCCAAGCTCTTTCATCTTTACTCTTCTCTGATGTGATCCTCAGAGAGTGGCAGCCAGAAACTCCTTGCTAGACGTGGGTGTTTACAAAAACAGGATAATAAGTGTAGAAACATTCCCTCTTCTTGAGAGTCTGAGTCCTTGAGGCCAGCCTACCCCTAGTCTAAGGCAGTCCCAGTGGTACTGGGGTCCTTAGAGATTTTGAACACACCCAGAGGCACAGGCCAACACTGAGGATTCTACTATACAAGGGTGACCTGAGAAACAGCGGAGGAATCTTATAGCTGAACAGGAAATTGATATGCACCTGAGGAATTGGAGGCTCCCATGGCAAAGACGTCTTTCTAACCTTCCTGCATCTAAATGGCAAAGACATCTTTCTTACCTTCCTGCATCTAAATGAGGAGATGTGATGACTTTTCTAATGCCACAGAGAAGTTCCTAATTGAAGAGTCTTCAGTGCAAACTGTGAGCAAGTCCACCATTTACATATCACATTGTATGAAAAAACTGCCTCTTCCTTACCATCCGGAACCATCAAAGTTCTCGATATTCTGATAAAATATGTGTATGCTAGTTACTTTCAAGAACAGAAGCAATTGTGAGTAGAGGACAGTGCGGTAACATTATCTGTCTTCCTCTGTTCAGGACACGTCTCTGAACGAGCTGGCTAAAATATTATCAGAGAATACAGTGGGGGCTGTTTAGGCTCTCGTTTCTTTCAATGTATTGGACTCTGAAGCTAATCACGTTATTGAATACACTACTAATGAACCTTCAGATTTCTCAAGAGGTGATACAGAAGCCCAGGCTGTAGACTGTAGCTCACGAGGAAGTTGGAGGTAGCAGATTGAGTATGTACTGAACTGTCAAGTCTTACGCAGATCTCGCTTTTTAACATAACGATGTTTAACTCTGTTGCATACCCCATGTGCTGCTGGTCAGGCTAAGAGCACTCCATCACTGACTCCTTCATTAGCTTTATGAGTCAGGTACTTCATTGCTGTATTTTATAAAAGTAAGATTCAATTCAGTTCCTGTACCGTAATCCACAGCTAATAAGAAGTTGAGGGTGGATTCAATCCTAAAGTGTTTTGTTATAAAACTCCTAACAGGCATCTGTGTGGCTTCCATTCTGACACCATCGTGGCACTTGAAAGTCTCTACAACGTGACTCAGTTTTCCTTTTTAGCTAAACACACCTTATCTGAATGAATTAACTGTCTTTACATCCCACATCTCCATGATTCTTGCTTCTATTTTATCCTGTCATTTTGCCCAGCTTTTTTGGTTTCCTTCCATTTAACCTTTCACAATGTCCCCATCCCTGCCTTACAGTCATTTATACATAAACCAACTATGATTCAAGAAGGAAGGTCCAATAACCTGTGCAAATTTATCCGTATTCTCAGCAGAGTTCTGATCCCAAAACCTGTGCTCTGGTATAACACACCTGCTCTCCTTTTAAGGCAGAAGCTAAGAAAGATGACTAGCACCTAGCCCCTTTCCACATTACTGTGGAATCTGACATGTCAGAGTCATAGCAGTCTGGGTTTCAACAATGACTGACACTGGTCACTGTCTGATCTTACTAAACACTCTAAGCTTCAGCTCCCTCTTAGATCAAATCAAAATATGGAGAAGGTGCCCATGAACATTAAATGAAATGCTGTATTTAATCCCTTAGCAGAAAACCTCCCAGTTGTATGGTAGCAATGCATTAATGTCACTACCAGTTGCTATCAATTACAGTGTGGCATCATCTGATGGGGAGACGCTTTGCAAGCCATTATTTTGCTCTACCCTGACCTTGACCTAGTACTCCCTCTTACATCTCACATCTCACTGACAATTCAATCTCAAAGGACTGTATTATAAACAGCAGAAGGAGTTGTTGTCATTGTTATTTTAAAACCTAAGTGAGTTTATTGTCTGAGGTCATATGTAAAGCCTCTCTCTGTCTGTCTGTTCCGTGGGTTGGCTGTTGTGTATAACCCAGCACCATGCTTTCAACTGCTGGCCAGGCTATCGTTTCCTCAAAAATTACATTTAAATTATATTTTCCATGAAAAGGAAATAATAACCCTGGAGTCTTAGACTTGAAACTCACTAATGGAGCTCTGCACAGTAGGAGCAATCAAATGCAATCGAGTGGACGCAACTAAAAGCCCATTTGCCCAAACACAATGAAACTTGTTTTCATAAATAGGCAAAGCCAACCGTCAGAGCAGAAGTGAAGACCATTTCCTGTATTCGGCGGACACCGAACAGATGCAGAAATAGCAAGCATACTGTACCTTCTACAGAACAGAATTGATTGGTCTTCATTATCCCAATGTGTCAAATTAGTAGAAAGTGAAAATTGATTTTCTTCTGAGCAAAGCAGTTTGAGTCCAAGTTCACTGGTAGGCAGTCCACTTTTACAGTGTGTGGGGATTCTTTTTTAAAGTCCCTCATCAAAGTGCTCAGAAATGGAAGATTAAATAAGAAAATAGAGAGTAGCTAGTAAATGTAGCCGTAGAAAAACACGTGCAAAACATTGAAACATATCTTATCATGAAAGCTCTCAAGTTGGACATTTGTGTTATTACCAGGTCCCTCCACTGGTAGAGTACCTTGGTAGGACTGGGGGTGAATGCTCCTTCGGAAGGAGTCAGATAAATTAGAGTTGGTTAATAGAAAGTTCTCTACTTCTTTTTTACTACCAACATACACACAGGATGAGGTAAGTTCCTGGTGATGAGGATTTCTGTGACAGGATTCCTTAACTGGGGCTCTGGGGCACAGCAAGCTTTGCATGTGCCTAACAAACCTAAGTTAAACATGACATATACTCATCAGCACATTTGAAGGATGAGTTTTGACACTTCTAGAAATTCTAAAAGTGTAATTATAATTTGCTTCAATTAAGAAAGCACCAGCGTATCCTACAGTCCTTGCTAGAAAGGTTTCTCCCCAAATTTTTTAATAGAAAATTCTATGAATTATTGTTTTAGATTAACTGAGAAAAAATAAAGCTTATTTTTTTACCACTCTCTGTTCAAAATGTTATCTTGTCAAAGAAAGTTCACCTTTCCCCTCTTCTCTCCTGAATATAGTCTGCACTGTGAACTTTCCCCCACCTGACTTAGCTGCCTTCAGAGTAAGAGGCCACATTCACCTTTCTGTCACACTGTTGTGAAAGGTCTGTGTTCCTGGTATCAAGAGAGATAGGCTGGGATTACAGTGGCAGACGTGTGTCTCTGCCTAGGGAGGATCTTTGATTTAAAAGAATGGAGTGATTTTCTACCCTTCTTGTGAAAAGAGACTAGTTCAGGACTGGAGAGATGGCTCAGTTCAACAGTTAAGAGCACTGGCTGCTCTTGCAGAAAACCCAGGTTTGGTTCCCAGCACCCACCTGCTGGCTAGCAGCCATCAGTAACTCCAGTCCTAGGTTAAAGGGGATACAGTGCCCTCTTCTGGCCCTTGTGGCCCTGACACACATGTGGTGGTGCACATCCACACATGCAGGCAAAATAAAAATAAACGAATCTTTTAAAGTGATTGTATTGGAGACATTATACCTGCTATTTAGTTTCCTAAATTTTTAACTTACTTGTAGGAACCTGATTATTTTAAGCTGCCTAATAACACTTGTTTTCTAAAAGCGTGTCTTTAATAATGGCTTACAGCAGAAGCATTTTTCCAGAATAAATTTATAGCAGTTGCATTACATTATGAAAGGGAAATATTCTTGCTCTCTTTCCTGAAAGTGAAAAAATTATCTAATTTCAGCTATCAAATAAAATACTCAGAAACTGTTCAACATCCTAAATTAAAGTCTGCTCTTCCTTTCCCCTCAAGACTAAAGAGTACAAACAAGCATTAATACTCCAATCACTTCCAAATTGCTTCAAGAAGCATCTCCCCTAAGGAGAAACTGAATGGAGCAAGGAACAGCACAGTGTTTATTGACTAAGCAACCATTCTAAATGAGAAAGGACCGAGACCATCTCTTGGCAGGTGCTCATTGTGGAACTGGCAAGTACTGCCATGTAATTATGTACACATAGACAAAGCAATCACTTTCATTATGTGACATGAAAACAAGAATTATAATATTTCAGTAAGAACTATTCCCCAAATCTTTGCTGAGACCTTGATTTGCTTCCACAAATAACAAATATAAAATATCAATTTCTGGAACCAGAATGACTGCTGAACGGCTGAAGTCCCTACCAATAGGAGCTCTGTGGATTTCATATTCACTACCCACGATTTGAAGTCCTCAAAATAATTAAAAATAGTATGTTTATGGCTCTTTCACAGTGTGTGAAATTTTTACACTGAATGGTGTAGTATTTATTCTTTTTTTTTTCCTGCATTAGTTGATAGCTTTGTATCCAAAGCTGAATTAAACATGTATTAACTCCATCTGACAGGAAAACAAGCCCCAGGGATTGTTAACTACTCCATGCTGTTCAGCATCAGCTAGGCAGTGCCCAAAGGACAAAACACAAGTAGCAACATTATGTGCACACCAGGCTTGGGGGCAGCGTAGAAGGGACTGCATTGTCCCTATTGGTAAAATGCATGTTAGAAAGAACTGTTCGCTGTCACAGTTGATTGTAGGAGAAAACGTGTTTTTAAATGTATGATTTTTATTCATCCTTTTATTCTGGGCATTCATGATTCTTGTATTAGTTGCTTTTCTGTTGCTGTGATAAAATACTCTGACAAAAAAAAAAAAACAGTGAGTTAGGAGAGGAAAGGCTCATCGGCTCACTCTTCCAGATCTCAGTCGATAACAGGGAAGTCAGGGCCGGAACGTGAGCAGGAACTTGAAACAGAACCCATGGAGAATGCTGCTTCCTGTTCACTCTCTGGCTCATCGAGCTAGTTTTCTTATACAACCCAGGTCCACTTACTGAGCGTGGTGCTGCCCAAAGGGTACTGGACCCTCCCACATCAGTCTGTAACCAAGACAATCTCTCACGGACATGACCACAGGCCAATGTGATCTGGGACGTATTTCAGTTGGGACTCCCTCTGATGATGTCAAGCAGACAGCTGACATTAACCAGGAGTCAGCTGTTTGCACATAAAGCAGGCATGGTGGTGCACACTTGGAATCCCAGCACTGGCTGAGGCCGAGGCAGGAATATCAGAGTTTGAGGCCAGATTAGACTATTTGGTGAGACCTCTGTCTCAAAAACCATAAAAGCAAATGATTAAAAAATGTTTGTGGGGGCTTGAGAGATGGCTCAGAGCACAGGCTGTTCTTGCAGAAGACCCAGATTCAAATCCCAGCACCCACATGGAGGCTAACAGCCACCAGTGACTCCAGTTCCAGGGATCCGATGCCCTCTTCTGTTCTCCAAAGGCACTGCATGACACGGTGCACTCACATCCCTGCAGGCATTACACTCAGGCTCTAAAAATAGAAATAAAATGTTTGCATGTGCTGTTTTGTGCGTCCATTACACAGACTGCTACAGGTTATGAAGTCATTTTCCCTCTTTTAGTTTGTTCCTTTCAGGGATTATATAGACAGAAGTGGAAACCACATCCTGAGCATGGCCAGGCTGGCCAAGGACGTCCTAGCTGAGATCCCTGAGCAGTTTCTCTCCTACATGAGGGCCAGAGGAATCAAGCCATCGCCTGCACCACCACCGTACACCCCGCCTACACACGTGCTGCAAACACAAATATGACTGCTCTCAGATGCTGGCGCTCACCACACATCTGTCAGCACTGCTGAGCCATCCTTTGCGCCTGGTGCTTGGCCGTGAAGCAGGGAATGAGATACTTTCCTTGTTTGGTTTCAGCAGTACTCAATAATGTGCTTTCTTGGATCCAAAATTAATTCTCTTCCTAAACCAAAACTGTAAATATCGTTGTTGCATGAGCAACAGGAAAATTGTTTAAATGCTTGAAGCGAAGTACAGATGTCTCCTCTAATTTTCAAATATTTCGATTTTGTTTTTGACTGAATAGCTACTTTCCAATGTAGTATTGGGGAAAAGCACAAGCTGTTTTTAACACAAATATTGTCCTTGGCTGCTATGTATCTAGGACAGCCGTCCCTGTATCAATGTTTACATGTTACTACTTTTTAAATTTCAATACTTTTATAACTGTTCTTAAAAGTAAGTTTTGAATATTGAATCCTTTGTCTCCTAAATTGCAACAGCTATAACCACAAGAGCAATATCTCTTTGAATGAGTGTCTGGACAAATACATTTGTGAATAAAGAGAGATGCACATACGCTTCTTAGCAACTGAGTGATCTTATGAAGCCACATCTACTTAGTGGCCCGGATCGCTGCAGGGTTGGCTGACTGTGGAAGTTTAAGCTTAACAGATGTGTACCCTGTAAGAATATGCATTTTTCATGGACTTTGGGTTCTAAGTTTAGACTGCAGTCTGTCTGTGTTTTGTAATGCTAACTAGAAGCAAGGAAAATTCAAACACTGAAAACTGCAAATGGAAGGAATAGATGTTGTATAAACTAGTATCCTTGTAATGCTATTAGAAGACAAAAACCAAGAATATTTAACTCTGACCATGTAGCAGATCTTTTAAACTTTTTATTCCATTACATCCTGCCTAGATATTTTAATTCAAAGGGATACTGGCTCTTTTGATTGGAATTTCTTGTTAGCACCACTCCACTTTGCCGCGCAAGGTGCACAGGCTCGAGTCTTTTGTGAAGTTCCCAGTTCAGTATATACAACCATGTGACTTAGCGCACAACACATTTGTGATATAAGCCATTCCTATATCCCAACCTGCCTGTTCCCATGAGTTATAAACAGTTTTTGCATGTACAGTTTTTACAAGAATTACAGTTTTGTGAAGTTGTGTCTAAATTTCTTTAGAACAAATGGCCTTAAATTCTCACAGAATTCCTGGAAATGATTGTGAATTGCCTTCAAAATACAGAAAAGTGTATCTATTTATTTTTCTTTTTGTGTTAACAGTGTAAAACTGCTTTCTAATATTCCCCTTGCCTATTTACTACTTGGTTAATTCTTACTCTGTTCTTCTCTTGTCACAACTTGATCTAGGATGACTTTTATAAGCATGAAGTTATTTTACTGAAAAAAATCCATCCATACACATAGCTAACAGAATCACAGTTACACAACTGTAATACTAAACTGTCCATTTTTAAGTATGTATTAAAAGCTTCAAAAAGACAGCTTATTTGTTCTGTGCATTTCATGTATTAATGACATAGAATCCAATGATTTCCTTTAATGATACTAAATATAACAGACTAATTTTTTAACCTACAGACATTTAAAAATTTACCTTCATTCATCAGTCAAAACAGAGCTAAATAAGATCAATATTCTGTCCTTGTCAAATATTAGTTATTTTCCTTGGAGTGAAAACAAACACACTCTTGTCAAAATAACATTGTATTCAAGTACCCAAATGGAGTGGGACTTGATACAGGAGGGAGACATTCTCAGCTATAAGTCACCCTTCTGTGGTTGAGAATAACAATCATGGAAATATGGTCATGAAGTGATGCGGGCCTGTCCATTGTGCGTCCCAGACTTACCCGAGCCAGCTGGGTCTCACACAGCGTTTTGCTCACTGATGAACTTGTGTTATCGACACACACTGCTTTTCCTGAATCATCTGGTGTCCCTTTCCTTGTGGAGTATGTCTTAGTGGTACCTGAGTATATATAAATTCTAAATGGTTCCCAGTAATGTGTAGCTGCTGCAATTAAGGAATATTAGATGACTTAATCACTACTTTGAATCCTCTCTTCCAGCATGCGAAGTGGAGGGAGAGGAGGTGGTTGTTGGGGAGGGAAGGATGCTGGGAGCAGGCTTGGCACACCAGCTACTTTGTCCTTTATACTTAACGGAGGTTTTAAATGGAATTATGCATTGTTTTATTACCATCGAAAGATAAAACAATAACAATGTAGCTTTTCATTGCCTTTTATTAACAATTCACAAATTGGAATGGCCTCCATTTATAAAACAATACAAATGGGGAATTCTGGGTAATAACTGTTGATTTTTAGTGAAGACAAGAAAACAGTAAAAGAAAAAGTTGGTTATTAATATCAATTTGGGGAGGGGGTGATACTCCCTTTTTTAATTCTTTTTTTTAGCTGAATCTTTGTGATTTTTCATACAATATAGTTTATGTAGGTCCCTTCCCCATCCACACTGCCCCCCAATCTAATGTATTCATTCATATATACATATATATATACATATTATATATACAGAGCCTGATTTGTGTACTCAAATGTCCTTCAGTAAGTCCATCCACTGTGCCCACCAAGAGTCGCATCCCTGTAAGGCACTGTCTTTCCCCTCCTAGCAGTCATCAGTTGCCAAAAGTTCCTTAGGTTGGGTTGAGTTTTCTTATCCACTTCCCCATGTCTATGCTGGGGTTTTCTCTGGTTTGAGCTTGCATAGGACTTGTGCATGCTGTCACCATTGCTGAGAATTCATATGAGTAACTGATCAACTGTCTGGAAGACTCTTGTGTCCTTGTGCTCATCCACCCCCACTGGCTCTTACAATTTTTCTGCCTCCTCTTCCACAATGATCCCTGAGCCTTGGGAGGCAGAGGTTTGAAGTAGGAGTGCTATTCAGGATCAGCACTCTGTGGCCTCTTGTTCTCTACACATTGACCAATTTTGGGTTTCTGCATTAATCACCATCTGCTGCGTGAGGAAACATCTCTGGTGAGAGCTGAGACATGGATTCATCCTATGTGTAGAGGTGGAATTGAAGATGTGTCACTTAGGGTTAAGCGTCTCACAGACATTATCTGCATTTGACCAGTTCTGGAACTCTGTAATAGTTATCTGTTGCAAAAAGAAGTTTCTTTGATGAGGGGTAAAAGGTATACTTATCTGTAAATATGAGGATACACATTTAGAATAAAGAAATTATGTTGGTCTAGGGATGTGAAAAAAGATTTTTCTCTAGGATCTATGACTTCCTGTCCATGAACATAAATTTTTTGTGAGGAGATTTCCTAATTCAGGGAGACTTGGTCTCCTGGTTTTAGGAAAAATATGTCTATTTTGAGCCACGTCTCTTTGGTTTAAGTCTGATCATGCAGCCTTGAATGTGAATGCACCCTGGACTCCTTGTTTACACTGGGGCTCCTGCAGGAGCTCAGTGTGGTTTCCTATCACTTTGTTTAGTCATTAACCTGTCCTCAACTTAGGCATAAAGAGATTTCTTGCAAGCATGAGTCTTTTTTCTCAGAGGACTTACACTGCCATCGATGTTGTTGAAGAGTCTGCTTCTGCCTTTCAGCTTGTGTATCTTTTAATTGCTTGTCTTTGTGTTAGTTACACCCAACACAAAAGAACAAGATACCTCATAAGATCTCTTTCCTAATAAACACAGTTGAGGACCAACTTGCCTTTCAGTATTATGTGGTATTAATGTAGAAAGCAGCTGAGAGCTGAAACTCTGTTATGAACAGAGGTTTCCGTCACTCTGTGACCAGTAACTGTCAGACCTGCACCTTGCAGATGGGCCTAAGTGTACACACTGAGGAGCACAGCACCTGGGATAAATAGGCCTCCTGGCCCTGAGCATCCTTCTTGGCTAACCTCAGGATATCTTATACATACTCCTATTTTAATGCATATCTTAGCCCAAAACAAACTCATGGAGCTTTGAAATTCAGAGGTAACTTCTCAAATCTACAGCACAATTTCTTAATCTGTGCTTACAATAGGTACAAAGTTTTGTTTGTCTTCTCTATTAGTCTATCTTCCATTGTCCTGTCAGCATATCTGAGGTATGTAATTGGTAAAGAGTAGAGCTACAATGATACCATCGTCCATGCAATATAATTAAGAGTCTTTCACCAGAACCAAACAATTTGGCTCCTTGCCACTGGACCGCCTGAATAAGTTAAACCTCTTCTCTTCGAAGAGCCTGTACTAAGTAGGCTCCTTATCTGCATATTTCCAGATGATCCAGGACACACTGAAGGGTAGACCTGAAGGAACTCGGGCTTAGGAATAACACAGTTCTAGAAAATGTTTGGTTTACTCCTCACCTCACCTTCCACCAGGTGCCCCTCTGCATGCTCTGGTCATATGTGACTGCCATTTAACAGTGGACAGAGCCTTTCATTGCACAGCACAGGTGGTTCTAAGACAAAAGAGATGTAGTCTGTAAGTACTGCTAAGTATTTTTATCGACATGCCAACATAATGCTTGGCACCAGGAATTGTTTCTAAAAGCCCTTCATTATCAGATATCTTGGGGGGTTGTGGTTTGCGTGAGGGAAGGTTGAGTGACTCATGCACCCTTTGAAGATGTGAGCTGAGACACTGCAGAAGCAACACTCGGTTCACAAGTCTGGGCTGTGCCTGTAATGCTTTCAAACAGGTGATTGTTCCAGCAGTGTGCACACCCCATGCCCCCAGCTGGATTAAGAACAGACAGAAGTATGTACTTGTCCAATATAGAGCAGGGTATATGTGCCCATAACAAAATTATTTCTCTTTAGATTGATGTCACCCTCAGATGCTATTTTAATGTATGGAAGTCTCATTTTATAATTGAACATAGTCACTGATACAGCACACTCATCAGCTCATGCCAGCCCCAGCACGTTACCTTGCTCTTGATTCCTGGGCCTTGTGGTATCTCTCCACATCAACATCTGAGAGGAAGTCTACCTTCATCATCTCACTAAAGGAAATGCACACTCACTTAAGATTTGCTCATCTAAAGCAACAGTGGCCATGACCTCATGATTTTTTCATCGGGAAGTTACTCACTGATGTAATTTCCGTGAAACAGACCTGCTGAGTATTCATAATACAGTTAGATGGGCTTATCCCATACAGAAAGGATTCGCTGGAGAAGGCATGGATTTCACTGAACTTATACCTTAAAAGGAAGGGGGTGAAGGAAGAAAGATTCTTAGAGTTGACTTAAAAACAGTTACCTTTAGCCAGAAGGCTGAGACTTGGGGATCTCTGTGAGATGGAGGTCAGCTTGGTCTACATACCAAGTTCCAGGCTAGCTGGAGCTACAAAGAGACCCTGTCTCAAAACACCACCACCATCATCAATAACAACAAATAGCTACCTAGTCACCAATCTCCATCACCTTTCAAAATAATTGAATTAATAAATTATAAGTATGATTTAGTACTATTTGCAAAAAATTACCTTAAAACTTCATAAACACTCCACTAAATAGCTTTACTAGGAAGCATTTACAACATTTGAATATAATTAAAATTCAGGAAATCACACTCTTATTTTCAATGATAGGAAAGCATGAATTCTATAACTTGCACTTTAGATCATTTAAATTTAAGTGCATGGCCTCTGAGAAGTCAAATCAGCCATCATAAGGCAATCTTTGGTTCACTTGGAGCCAGATTTCAGGTCTCTAAATAGCACACACACACACACAAACATATATATTGTTTTAGAAGACAGGATCATCTCGCTGTATAGCACTGTCTGGCCTTGAACTCACAGAGATCCACCTGCCTATGTCTCCCAGTGCTAGGGTTAAAGGCATGAGCTACCATGCCCAGCACAGCATATAATTTTTTTAAGCCACTTTATCCTTTGACACTTGAGGTTGGTCACCAAATGAAGTCTTGAAAGATGAGTAATTATAGTGAAACCAGTTAGGCATTTTAAATCAATGATTTGAAGTCTAAATCCAAAGTGTTATGTATTGTGTTTGGTGTGTTTTATAGGCTGATCACAAAATTCCCAAAAAGTTCAACAAGGGAGTGGCATTTGGTAAATGGCATATGTTAGTAGTCAAAAGATCTTTATTTCCTTCCCACTGATCTAGAAGTGTTATTATCTATTTAGTGTGATGTTTTCGAGCACCCTCAAAGCACTCTGTCCACTGCTGTTTTCTCAGAGAGAGCTGTTCTTTAATTAGAGTACAATTTGAAGCTCGACTCTTAAGAGCCAGATGGGAGGGATTGTTGAAATGAACTTGAGATTCTTAGCCATCAAAATACCTTCTGAGGTATTATACAAGTGGAAAATCTCAGGTTCTCCTTTACAAAAGCGGCGTATTCACACAGCAGTTACTCTAAGACAC